CGCAAAAACATCCGACTCTGTCGGTAAATCAAACCACTCCAGCATCCCCTTAACAACGATGCATTTTTCAACTGTTGCGTGAACATGGGCGTGTTGCTCGTTCGACATTTGTGAATACGCGAGGTATTTTTAACATTTCTACAATGTTATCGGCAGACCGATAACTATAAAGCCTAGTGCAGACTGCACGCAGCAAGCAGCAAGCGTCGAGCAGCAGCCAATCAACGAAGAGATATTTTCTACGCCACTGCTGACGCTTCCGCAAAATTCAACAGTGTTGGATGCTCGCTGCTCGACGCTTGCCGCTTGCTGCGTGCAGTCTGCACTAGGCTTAAGAGTAAATTCCCGCGGACGTTTGTGAGGTTGGACGAAGGGTGAAGTGTACAGAAAAAAATGTAGATACACGAGACATTCAAGTAGCTCTATCTCGGAAACAGCGGGGAATGGGACGCACATTCATATGAACATTTTTGCTTGAAATAACCGATACTATCACCTCCCGAAATAATGACTTTTCCTCCTGGGACACCCTGTATAGACGCCTGTGGTATTCCCCGAGTTGCGTCGCGCGGCAACGGGAGACGGTTATGCATTACGGTCCTTGTTTTTCCTCTTAAACTCGTAGCGCCCACGGGGCATTGCCGGTCCTCGAGAATTTCGTCTCCGCGCGACAAAGCAACTGTCGATTTCACTTTCGCGATTCTCCGGAGCTCTTGACTTCGGAGTGTCGGACGTTTCAATCACGTCCCATCGCGCGTCGCTACCGAAGTGTGAACGTGCGCTACGATCGCAACGCAATTCCGCGGATTAGCACGTGACGTGCACGCGCGCGAATCGCGACCGTGGGAGCGAGCGCTCAACGGTACCCGACGACGAAATCGTCCCCGTCGTGCGGCGGCCGTAAACCGGCGTATCATATATCAGCCGACCAATCAGCGGAACTCATTCATTAAGCGCACGTGAAATCCCGCGACGGATTGCGTTATTGCGCAGAGCGCGGTTCATAAGAAAAAAAAAAAGAAAGAAAGACACTTGCGGGCGTCCGCGTTCAAGCGCACTTTCGTGCAGATTGCTCAAACACGATTCTATGCGAATGGAATTATCATCGGCTGTCAAGCGAGCCACTTGCGTTTAAGCACGGCGCGTGTTTATTTATAAATAGCCGCGTTACTCAGCGCCGCGACGCGTTACGTTTGCACGTTAAATCGAACCAGATGCGATTTAAAAAAAAACCCCCCTTCGAGAATTATAGAGAAAAACGCTATTGAACCCTCGGAGTCGACTCGACGAAGCTTAATCTCTCTGTCGCTCTCGAAGCGCGCGGCGCGAGGTATCAGTCGCTCTCTCCCCGCGAACAACAGGTATCCCGAGACGTCAGTCTCGTAGCGAAGGTGCGAGATACGGACGTGAATATGTGGCGGGACGACGGCTGGCGTGTCGGGCCGGACAAAGGAAGCGGCGGATCGTGCGGCCCTGCGCTCCGCGTATTTGCATGGGAACGTACCCACAGAGGATCCCCGTGCGCGCACAAAGGACGAGAGCGAGGCCCGCCTTTCGCGCTCGCGTACTCGCGACTGCACGCTCACCTGTGCATCACGGACGTGCGCGCGTGCACGTATCCGTGCGCCGTCGGTGCCCTCCACGCATCCGCACGGAGGCATACGTACGAGCGCGGGAAGGGTCGGC